AAAAAAAAAAAAAAAAAAAAAAAAAACAGCCCAGACCTTCCTCCTCCTTTAAAGTTTATTTTTCTTCTGAGTAAGAAAAAGAAAACCCTTCTTAAAATAAAACTAAAAATCAGCATTTCCAGGGACAGGAAAAGGCCCTATAGTATTATATACACTATCCAAGCTGACACAAAAAAGAAGAGATTAAAACCCTGGCTGTAAGCCAAGGCATCCAGACACAATTTTGCACAGAGCATACACAACAWAAGTGTTCCTGCATTCAGGATGTTGGAGCGTGTTTCCTGCACTCACACCTGGAAAGCCAACAGCACTGAAATTCCATGGATCCCAGTCATTCCCAGATCAACAGGTCCCTCACACTTCCAAAAGGAAGGATGTGCTCACACACTTTGCTTGATCCAGACCATCTCCTGCAGAACAGACCCCCCTCATRATGCAAATTAAAAACAGAATAATAAAGACAACCTACAAAACTCTCCTGCTGTTCTTCACTCCTCAACATTTCAGCRGAGCTCCCACCATGCTGAGCACTCCCCAAAATTTCAAATCTTCAGCCATACAACAYGTCCTGACTTTCAAAGCCAATGTAAATACTCTTGGAGGCATCCTATGGTCGTATTATTATGAAATTAAATATACACAGACACTGCTGGTTGGCAGACAGACACCAACATGGCAATTGCAGCATTCAGTGTGTTTAAAGCAGCAGGCCAGGCAAAAGGAGATTATTCACTAGGTAGTCAAACGTAAAAAAGAGCCAGACATTTCAGTCTGTCTCAGTGTCTCACAAAGGGGTCAGCGATTTGTAAATTTTAAACACAACACTTAAGCAGTTTTGCAGACTAAAAATCCTTTGATGATTTACCTCAGTGCTTCTCTGCAATAAAGTGATTTTGCTGTACTCAAGCTTTTATACTCCAGCTTCTSTACAAGCAAAGAATTCTGAAAGCCACGTCAAACCAATTATAAACATGCCTGTATTTTACTTCCTTATTAAATCTTCCCAAGAGAAAGAGTAAACATATAAACATAAATATCTTTCAGAGGAGTCACCCAAGTACCAATAAAATCTTCAGAAAGCAGCTGCTTTGCTGAAAAAGGATGAAAAAACATGGGCTGCATAATCACAGTTAAGCGCAAGGACAGTCATGCTGCTCTTCTGAGCAGCAGGTACAAATCTCTGCCTTAAAAATACACATAAATTGTAGAGATTCTCAGAAAATYACAGTATTAAATATTAGTTTCTGATCTGCATTTGTATACTCCTAAGAAAAGTAGTCGGTGTCACCTATGCTGTTTATCTAAAAACATTCCAGCAGAGGCATTATCTTGACTTTCTGAGAAACTCTTCTAAATCAGTASACAAAGTTTAACTTCATGAACTCTGCTCAACAACAGCAGCAAAATATAGTAACACTTCTCATAGGTAATAAGCATTCCATCACTTAAAAAACAATCACTGCAAGCAGCAGAACACTGCAAGAAGCAATCAAACCCCTGCAATAAGGCAGGATGGGCTCAGAAGGCAAATATTTCATTAGATAACACAACAGAGGTGATTTTATGCTTTCAAATGGTCATTAAAGAAATAGGTTTTTATCAAATAATTAAATACCTGGGCAGGGGCATTTAAAAGATGCACCAGATCCTCCCTGGATCTGAGTATTGAGGGTAATGCATGATCAGGAATCTCTAACCAGACATTACCAGTCACATTCCAGCAATGTCACAAAATGGGAGGGTGTTTCCCAATTAATTAGTTAAGTGAATAAATTAAAAGCATTAAAGTTCTGTTTTTCAAATAACAAGTGCTTTCCTTTCCATACACCATGTGGCAGAGCACATTGTGCTTGACCATCCATCAGAGAACARGCATGTTAAAACAGTTCTGAACAGAACTGCAGGATAAGGATTAATTAATGATCTCCAATTCTGGCTGAATTCATAGGTTAGAGCAAACATCTCTGCCTTACTGCTGTTGTCACAAGCCTCATCCCTGTCCAAACAGAGCTGAAAGTCAGTAGRAAAGCAGCTTCAGCAGCAATTGGGTCAACAGATTTGGCTGAAGAAATCCTCATCACTAAAAAGAAAGAAATAAATAAAAATCAGAATGACAAAACTAAGGGGATGCTTGGGGTCTGCTCACCCAGACAGCAACACACCCGAGGAACCTCTTGGGAAGAGAATTCCTACCTACAGGGAAACGTGGTTGAAGGATTCTTTTGTGCTGGCATCTCAGGGGAGGAAGTTACCTTTAAAAAGACTTTGTTTTGTCTCTCCCTGAGGAGTATCAGAACTGTCTGCATCAGTTGTTTCAGTGGGGTTTGTCCCACRAAGATTTCACTTGTGAACTGCACACCCCCCCCACCAGTGAGCAATTTACTCATGCGATTACACCCAGTGGACTCACAGGAACTGTGTGAGAAAGGAGCTTTGCCAACCTAAGGGTTGCACAATCAGGAGAAAAAAAAAAATACAACCAAACCAAGGAGGGGGATAAATTGCAACTGACAAAAACTACAATCAAGAAATAGCTGGTGACAGATTGTATTTAAGTACAAGGAAGTGATTTAAACAGGAGCAGTTGTAATAAGATTATACGATTCTCTATTAAGATTCTTAAAATGTCTTTGTTCTAACAAAGCTCTGAAAAGACCATTGCCCTTGCAAAGGGTTCAGAAACTGCTAAATTGATGTTAAGTCTAGAAATTAATATGATTTGGGAGAATAAAGCAAAAAAAATGTAAAAGAACATCCCAGACATCATTAGCACCCTGTCATCCGCACTGCTATTTTTCCCTAGCAGGGGTACAATGGGTGTTGTAGCATTTYTTGGTGGCAAAACTCAAACCAAACAAACACAAGTGGGGGGAGCTTGCTCTGCCTGGGTTTCTGCTTTTAAATAATGAAAACTCCCAGGCTGATTTTAGAARCCATCACATTATGTAAGTGACATCTCCAGAAGGGCAGGGAAGTCTCTATGAGGTTATAGTGGAATGAGATTAAATCAGTGTCTGGCTGCTGAATTTCAGCCATGACCCCCAGACCCCACCATGTATTTTAAGTAGTCAGTTCTAAAACTGCAGCCCCCAAAGTTTGCCATAACTCCTGCAATACTGATAAACAATCAAGGCAAGGGGGTCCTCAGATTTCTATCTTGTAGGGTGGACATTAAACATCTCTAGCTAAGGTGTGTGGCGTAGTTTTAAACTAATAAACAGCTTTGAACTTTCAAAAAAACAACTTATTACTTRATTTGTTCAATTACTTAATTGTTCACTGAGTGCTGCATTATGAGAAACAGAAAAGCTTGAAAGAGCCAGTTCTGTCCCGAACCCCCAGAAGCAGCACACAGGCCTTCTCCTGCCTCGGTCACCCTCCAGAACTCTCTTGGACCTCAAGACTATTCAGTATTTATTATACAGACAAGGCTTAGGCACTGCAGACAACATGGCTAAAACAACTCTGGGGGAAAAGGCAGAGGCAGGAGCAGTGGGGAAGGAAACTGCAGAGGTCTCAYGCACAAATTTCAGCTAATTACTTAAGGCAGCTCAGGGAGCTCTGTTCCTGATGGTGGAAAGAAAACGATTCCTTGAAAACAATTTGTATGGATTAGGACAACAAAACAGACTGTGTTTGAGATTCCTTAAACCTCCCCCAGCCACCTCCASCATGAAACACAGATAAGGGGAGCCTCCAAGGTGGAGCTGCACCCAGGACTGGGCTGGGACTGGTTTCACCCAGTCCCAGAGCAGAGCCAGCTGCACTCCCACTGCCAGTGGGGACCTGTCCGTGCCTGAGCTCCTGCTTCCCCACCTGGAAAGGGCTGGATTTTGCAAGCYAAGGCACAGGCAGCACAAACAGCCCGGGCCTGACCTTGAACACAAGCTCGAGGCACCAGTTAGAGGCATTTATGCTAACAGCCCTGGGTGACAGGAAACAGATAGACACACTATTAACAATTAATGCAACACAGGGTATTGGCTCTGAGATCAATTTAAGTTCCATTTTTGTAACAATACCAAAAAATGAGCTGAAAATTATCTATATAGAAGAAAAAAGCATYTCACTAGCATAATAACTCAAGGTTATGTTTCCATATAAGAAGGCACAATGGCAAATTATAAACTGAATTCTGCAAACATCTCCAGTGTCAGTGCCACCAGCAAACATAAAGTACTTTTACACTAATTTTCTAATTAGTATCATCATCCATACAAACATTACTATTAGATATTTACATAGAACTCAATTTTGTAACTTAAGCTACTCTCCTTAAACTCTGCCTACAACCATAARTTACCCACAGAAAACACCATAGAACTTTCTGATCCAGCTACTTTGCCTTTATCAATAGTCTGGAGCAGCATCATAAAATCARGCAAATCCCAAATTTGGAAACCAGAGACAAACCTGTTATTTGTAAAATTATGAATAAAAAATACCATTTTTCCCCACAGCTTTCTACCTGCTGCACCACTCACCGAGATGCTGAACCCAACAGTCACTGAGTTCTAGATCCATCCTGAAGCAAACAGTCTCTGAATTCACTCTCACATTCAACCATTCACAATTCCTTTTCCATCCATAACAGGAAAGCAGTCCTGTAACAGCCACCTAAACTGATTGACTTGGACTTYTTATTCACTATTATTCAGCACAGTCCAGTTTGTACCAAACCTGGAGCACACCAACGCTAGCAAACCCACAATCAGCCCCGGCAGATTTTATTCCAGAGGACAGCAACCCATGTTGTTTCTYCATGGAGTCTCCTGCCTTCTTAATGAGCAGCCAGGCTACTGAAACACACAAAAACCTGCTGTTCTTTGAAGCACTTAAGCCAGCAGGATACTGGTACATTTCGATATTTTCCCTGCACAGATCAGAGCAAKGCAAAATGGATAAAGAACATTACAGGCGTTCCTACAAACCAGGCACATTTCATTTTCTATTAGCAAGATCCCGAGGGACAGTTTAGCACTCTGCAAATATGGCCCTGGAASACTGGGAAGGTGCTTCCTGAGTACCAGTCATTAAAGAAAGATATTAGAGTAACTTATATTCTTCTACACCAAGCAAAAGCCAGAGTCATTTCCTCATCCTACGTATGAGACCTAAGAAAAGCAAGATCAGGAACATCATAACTATTCTTTAATGTATTTCCCCTAAACTGATTATCATTTAATGATTGCTCTCTCTCTCTCTAAAGAAAAAAAAACCCAACCACTGAAACAAAACACCGATTTCTGTATCAAGAGAGACTATCAGCRTTTTTATGAAGTAACAAATTAGGCCTTTGGCATTTCCCAGCAGTGATCCAAGATTTGAGGCTTCTTAAAAGCTCCAAGTTTTGAAGCAATCAAATGGCTGACAGCTGGAACAAAATTAGCAYGATTAACCAGTTATGTAAATAATGATGTGGTCAGTCCAAGCTGAATTCATTTCTGCTGCCTGCATTATACTGGACTTCAGATGTTTGCGAACTCCTCATTAAATGTGACTGTAGGAATAATGGAAGTGAAAACCAACACAAACATCACCAGCCAGGCTACCTGAGYGTCAGGGATCTCTCCTCTGGTCTTTCCATGACTACCAGGTAACCCACAGACAGAGGACTCTTTTAGCCCAAATATTACCCACCACCGCTTAGCCCCTACCTACAGAACATACCAATTCCTTTTTCTCAGGAGACAAGTCCATGGAAAGATGGAGAAAGATGGAGAGTGGAAAGGCTTGGAGTGACAGGACAAGGGGGAAYGGCTTCCCACTGACAGAGGSCAGCATGGGATGGGATACTTGGAAAGAATTCTTCCCTGGGAGGGTAGARAGGCCCTGGCACAGGGTGCCCAGAGMAGCTGTGGCTGCTCCTGGATCCCTGGCAGTGTCCAAGGCCAGGYTGGACAGGGCTTGGAGCAACATGGGATAGGGGGAGGTGTCCCTGAGCTTTGTCAAAAGAATGAGCTTTAAGGTCCCTTCCAATCCATTCTGGGATTTTAAGATCCTGTTAGTGCTACATWTCATATCTCTGTTAATCATTTTCATTCCTCAGCAGATATAAAAGTCAAGCTGATGTGTCAGAGAACTGTTGTGACACAGGAATAATGTTGCAGAGTTACTTCATGGAATCAAGGAAGTTACAATCAGCACCCCCAAGTCAAACTTCCTCAAATGTAACCCACAGTCAATTTGGCCTTATCAGAATTCGCCTTCAGGAATGCACACGCATGGGTCATTTGTGCTCGATAATTTTTGATAACATAGTTAAATATTTAATATGGGCAAGATTATCTTTGAAATTCTGTCGACCTAGTTTACCATWACTTTGAGGTTATAAAGGAAAATATATCAAGAGTTTTGATTCTTCCCAATAAAATTCTATTTGAGTTTGTTCAAAAATAATGTATTTAAAAATCAGCCAAGAAAATCATATTTAGAATTAATTCCTAAACAGGCTGCACTTTGCTAAAGACAGCATTACAATATATATATGTTTCTAATTAAAAAAAAAAAAAGTCATTCTAACATCCCACGTTTTCACATCCAAACAATACAATTTCCTATAACCTTGTGTCTCATGAAACACAGCAACACACTGGAATCATGCAAGAGTTCTGTATTACCATAAAACATGCATTTCAGTGGRGAGAATAATAAAACTTAATCTCGTGGCCTGATTTGCATTTTGAACTCCTGAAGTCAGACTCCACAGCCYAAAACATCTGCAACAGCTTCACAATCCTAACAAGTCTTTTAGGCCTCCTGTTGAAAATGGATGAGCACACAGATAATTCAGGGTATTTTCTTAATAGGCAAGAACAAGAAATATGTCCAACTGCTGTAAATTTTAAATCTCACTKGGCTTTTCAGATCAGTGTCGATACCGTACTTGAGAAGGGGGAGGGGGAAGCATTACACACCCATAAAACTGAGAGCAAATGCTACCAGTTTTAAAGCCTTAGAGCTTTAAATCTTAACATTAATATTTTAACATTTATATAAAAGCCTTAAGGCTTTAAAACAAGGGACTTCCATTGCRGGCAGCCTGTGATAATTACTGTTTCAATATATTTCACATCAATAACGCCTATATGTAATGCAGCTCGCTGACTACCCAACCCCAATCTATAGCATCTCAGGTACTGCAGGTAAAAATTTTTAAATATATATAAGTATGTATCAYTGCATATATACAGAGAGAAAGAGAGAATATCACAGAACCACAGAAAATCACAGAATTATTAGGGTTGAAAGGGACCTCTGGAGACCATCTAGTMCAAGCCCCCTATATAAAACAGACCCTTAAAAATGATTAAAAGCATTAATACACACCTCCCAAACAACGATATTACTTCAAATACAACAAAATAGCCGCCGCCCCGCCACGATGGAGGTGAACAACGCCGGGGCGGGRGTCGGACAGGGCGGAGCGGAGCCCCCCCGCCCCGGCGCCGCCGCCGGGAGCCCCCCGAGCCCGCAGGCCCCGCCATCCCCCGCAGCCCCGGGAGGCCCATCGGGAGCCAGGCCCCAACTTCGGCCCGCGGGGGGCCCAGCCCGTCCCCGCCGCCGCCCGCCCAGCCACCCACCGGCGACAACAAAGGCCACCGCGGCCCCGCGCCCTCCCCGCGGGGACCCCCGGGGGCCCTTCCCGCGCCCACCCCGCGCCCCGCGGAGGGGAAAGGCGGGGGTTCGGGGGACGCCCGCCCGTMCCCCCTCCCCGTCCCGCAGCCCGCCGGAGCCGCGCTGACCTGCGGGCGCGGGGCGGGCGCGGTGTCCCGGTGTCCCGGTGCCCGGCGGCCGCGGGCTGCGCTTGACACCCACACGCACCATCCAACATGGCGGCGGCGGCCGCGGGGAGGCGGCGGAGGAGGCGGAACCGGCGGCCGCGCGCGGCCCCGAGGCGCGGCCGCGCTGAGGGCGGGGGGGACGCGGCGCTGCCCGTCCCCTCCTCCCGTCCCTCGTCCCCTCCTCCCCTCCCTCTTCCCCTCCTCCCGTCCCTCGTCCCCTCCTTCCTCGCCTCTTCCCCTCCTTCCTCGCCTCTTCCCCTGCCTGTCGCCGCGGCTCCTCGCAGCCGAGCCCCGGGAGAGAGTGCCGAGCTGCTTTGGATGGAAGCAGAGCGCCTGGGGAGCCCCCTCGGTGCTCACAGCACCCAGCGGGTCCCCTAAAAACCTGGRTCAAATAATACAAAATAACGACTGTCGCTACAAAATACCCCCATTTATGGATCGTGGAACGCTTTAGAGAGGGCCTGGCCTGGATGGAAGGGGAACGCTCGATGCTTACAGCGCCCAGGAAAAACTGGTTCYGTGGCTAGAGATCGACCCGAAAACAACTGATACAAAATAACGGCTATTACTACAAAAAGTATACAAAATAAGCACATTTATGGATTGGAAACACTTTAAAGCGGGCCTGCTTTTGATGGAAGGAGAAGAGGGAGCCCCCTCAGGGCTCCTTGCATTCAAGAGCCGGGGATCCCCCCAAAACCAGGGACCAGGGTGGGCTGGGAGCCCCAAAACAGCTCCCATCGCTTCACATTGTGGAGAGTCCTCGGGGAGACCCCTCTGTGCTCACAGCTCCCAGGGGAAATGAATTTCAGGGCCAGGGATCCCCCAAAAACAGGGTTAAATAACATAAAGTAATGATAGTACAAAATAATAATTTAGAGATCAGCAAACAAATTAGASAGGGTCTGTGGCTGCCTTTGATACAAGGAGAAAGTTTGGGGAACAGACTCCCCCTCCACACTCACAGCTCCCAGCAGAAACTCATTTCAAGGCAGAGTAGCCCCCCAAAAACCAAGGTCCAATGTGAGCTGGGAGCCCCAAAAGCAGAATCACAGAATGAATTAGGTTGGAAAAGATGTGAGATCATCGAGTCCTACTTGTGACCAAACATTGTCTTGTCAACTACACCATGGCACTGAGTACCATATCCAACCTTTCCTTAAACACTTCGAGGGACAGTGACTCCACCACCTCCCTGGGCAGCCCATTCCAATGTTTAATCGCCCTTTCCACTGGCAAATTCCTCCCAATGTCCAACCTGAAGCCCCCCTGGCACAGCACAGATACTGCACTTTCCCCCTCCCACTGAAGATGCCAGTATAAAATAACCACATTTATGGGTAGGGGGACAATCTGTGGAGACATTTGTGGATCAGAGATGGATCAGGGTCACCACACTGGGTGACAAAGGGGAGCTCAGCAGGGACACAAGGGCACAAAGGTGGCAGGAGGAGCCGGACGGTCTGGGTGGGTCGGAGCACACGTCCTTCCCCTCGGGATAATGACTAAACCCGTGTCCGGCAGCGCGGGCTGGAGGAGGTTACTGGTCCCATTGTAGTCCTCCCTGAATATATTTGTTCCCATCGTAAAACTGTGAGACAATTCAAGGAAACGGGACACGGCTGCTCGGGAGAGAGTCAGGATTGGCGTGGGCCAGCGGAGAAGCTGGAGAGCAGAGCCCTGCTTGGATCACTGCTGGCACCGGGTAGTGCTGCTGGTTATTTAAAATCCAAATTCCTGAGAAATCGTGCCCTACAAAAGCATAGGAAAATAGAAAAAATGTGGAGCAAAACCCAGTTTATGAGTCACTGCTTTTAAGGGAAAGGAAGGTCAGGCTGAGCAYTGCAAACTTCATCAAATCCCAGAATGGTTTGGGAAGGGACCTTACAAATCATCTCATTCCAAACCCTGCCATGAGCAGGGACATCTTCCACGAGACCAAGTTGCTCCAAGACCCATCCAGCCCGGCCCTGAAAACTTCCAGGGACGAAGCACCCACCACTGACAGCCCAGCCCTTTCTCCCATGGAGCCACTATAAAATCTGCCACAGATTTGAGGTTTAAATGCAGAAGAATGGGGACTGCAGTGAAACACCGAGTGAGCTGCAGGAAAAGCAACTTGTTTAGAAATGCTGCAAATTCCAATGCCTTGAACACCATCTGGGAGCTGGGAAGCTCCAAATCTTCTGCAGCAAGCTGTGATTCTGGCTTAGCTGTTAACCTTGAGCTAGGCAGGATTAAATTCTGGGTGAAAAAAATAAGGGATCAGCACACTGATGATGCTGATGGTATCAGTAGGAGCTGAAAGCATACTTCCCCCTTTTCTTCTCTGGAAGAAAACAGCAATGATGGAAACCCAATGTCTCTGTGCACRTTCATTAATCCTAATGATCAGGTGCTGACAGCTCTAAAGAAGCAGAAGAAAGCTCTTGCTTAAAATGAAATGGGAAGAACAGGATTGTTCCTGCTGCCTTCTCTCCTGCCTGTGTTCCTTCCAGACCTGGGCAGATGCTTTCCAGAGCAGGAARCAGCTTCCTCTCCATTCCCAGCTCCATGCCAGGTGTCTGGCTACATTATTAAACGTGCAAATCAGCAAACCCAGCAAAAACCTCCTGCAGCTGGCACACCAACACCAAAAAAAAATGTTTTTGTCCAGATCGAACCCCTTAGCACAAGTAAAGCGAACCAAATAAAATTAATTATTTTTTTATTATTATTACATCATTGTTAATGCCTTTAATTGCAGYGTTCCTGCTCCACTGGGCAGGTACCTGCATGGTACAGCTGCACCAGCAGAGATTTGCCCAAGTTGCACAGGGATGTTCCCTCCTGGTGGTCTCAAGTGGAGTCCTGGCAGTGGATTTACATCTCTTGTTCACATTAGCAACAGGAGGTCACTGCCCTTGTCCTGTGATTTTACACCCAGAAGCTGGTGTAGAACATTTCCCACTCYAGCCCTACCCATGTTTCCTGGGAACAGGCTGTGCCATGCCTTGGATATTGACCTGAGCCACTCTCAGATCCTTCCCAGCCCACAGTGTTTCAGCTGCGTTGGCAGAACCAGAGTTCAAGGCCACGATGTGCAGTCTGAGTTGGGCACCAAAAGCCCAACTGCTGTGGCACTGCCCTGATAACCAGCAGAGCAATCCACACGGAGAAGGCAGCTCACAGACTCCTGGGACATCCTCAGGATATGGAAGGGACAAGGATCATCAAATCCAGTGCCTGGCCTTGCACTGGATCAGGGACACATTTCACTAGACCAGGGTGYCCAGAGAAGGTGTGGCTGCCCCTGGATCCCTGGAAGTGTCCAAGGCCARGATAGATGGGGCTTGGAGCACCCTGGGATAGTGGGAGGTGTCCCTACCYATGGCAGGGGGTGGCATTGGAGGGTTTTCAAGATCCCCTCCTATCCAAACCATTCTGGGATTCCATGAAATGCACCCAAATGCATCCAAATACTCCTGCAGYTCTGGCAGCCTTTTCTTGGGGATCCTRTTCAGTGCCTGACCATGCTCCAGGTGAAAACCCATTTCCTGAAATCCCAACCTAAACCAGCACAGCTTCATGCCACACCCTCAGGTCCCATCACTGGTCGCCAGACATGAGCTGGTGGCAATAAATCCAGTGAGTGGGAGTAGAGGGGCTGTTGCAAGCAGCAGGAGGATAAGGAGTGGGACGCCTGGAATGCAGGAGGCTCTCCCAGAGAAGATGAGGAAGGCACATCCTCCCCCGGCTGCCCTCCCAGCTAACCTAGGGAAGAGCAGCTGCCAGGAAGCCCCAGGAGGGCCTGTTCCACAGCCATAATGGGAATATCGCCCACGTGGGGCTGAGCACACGGCTAATTAGCTAATGACTTTGCTCCAAATGTCTGGCCACGGTTCGAGCGACAACAGGAGCAGCCCTTGGAAAGCCCCGGACAATGCCAAGCGCCTTCATCTCTCGTCGCTGACCCCAGCCCCGCATTAACAAATAGGTCACAAACAACGCTGCTTTGCAGTGATCTAATCCTCCAGCCATATGTCGGCTGCCCGAAAAAATGCTGCACCGAGAACGCCCCAAAGCTCTGCAAAAATCCCGAGGAAAACTSGACAAATATATCCCTGCCGTTTGAAATTTGATTTCCTCACTCTATTGTTTCTCATTTCCTGAGAGCTGGCTCGGTGGATCACATTTTCTGCTTCTGTCTCCAGYGCTTGTAAGCAAACAAGACTGAATCTCATTATCCTGATGCATGGCCCTGGCTGTGTGCAATCCGATCTCTAAATCACAGTCATTTTGCTCCATTACTGATTTTCCTTCCCACTCCCACCCTACAGGTCTTCAGAGGAATCAATGCAAAAATAGAGACGAGCATCATCTAATGAAGGTGTGTTTAATGTGCAGCACTTCAGYCTGGATTAAATAGCCAAGTGAGGAACTGCCTCGTGTCTCGGGAGGTTGGGCACCCTCAACTCCAGTGGCAGCTGGAGCTTCCCGACCTTCCTGGGAAGCCAYGTGCTTCCACATGGGGTAAATGGGGACTTCAGTCCCTGAGAGCCCAATTTGGGAAATCTGCTAATTAAATAGTCTGGGCAAACACAATCATCATTGTCCTTAGAGCCAAAGCAGCGAGATGTTTCTCAACAAGCACAGACCCTCCCCGGAATTTTCTGAGCTGTCTGCTAGTTGCTGACAGTTATAGAGAATATATTCAGATTATACAACTTGATGTTCACCCCGGGTTATTCTCCTCCTGGATTCATGAATATTTCATTGAAATATGCAAAGTCTGAGTTACAGTCTTGTCTGCTTCAATGAGACACATGGATCCACAGGGTCTGCAGCCCTACCACGCTTCCAGGGTTTGTCTACAAAGCCAGGAGAACCAAAATAAGAGTTTAGCTCCTCTCATATTTAGCCTGGGTTCTTCAAACATCTTTAAAGGGGGAAATCAGAAAGATGGGCATGAGCCCAGTGAGCCTGTGCCTGAGTTCAGCTGGAAGCGACCCAAGTTAATCAGAACAGAGCCAGCAGCAGGGGGCTCGTTCCCTTCGCGATGCAGACAAACTTGTAGGACTGTTTCCAATGCAAATATTCGCTTTGACAAGC